CATATTCGAGAATGTCTATTAACTGCTTAATGTTTGTTTTGAGTTTAATAAGAAAATAGTTGTGTTTTTCGAAGATATTCTCAATAATATGTTTGGATTTTTCACATATAAGTTTTGTCTTTCAGCTTTAAACTGTACAGATTATAAACATAGTTTTAACTTAAAGATTTTAAGTTGATTCGGTTGCGAAGAGATACTTTCCACCTTGTCCGCATTGGTTTCTTTACGATGTCATGAACTCAGGTTTCCATAAAATGCCATTTCAAGGTGGATTCCGCTGTTCTAAAGCAATTCACATTTATGAATACTGACAAAACTATAGCTAAAACAATATATAATGAGAGTATTTATGTCCAGCATAAAATGGTTTTCTGGAAGATGTACATATATAACATTGAATAATATGTATTTATTTTCACATAATTAGGTAAGAAGAAGTTGGAATTATTGAGAATTCCTAATTTTCTTTTCTTCCATATAAATACGTAATAACTAGCTCTATCTCTACCTGCTAAGGGCTAGACACGTATTATAAACTTTAAATATGTGATGATATTATAAACTTTAATTTTAGACCTAACAAAAAGCCATTTACTCCATATGACTGACTATAAAACCAATTCTAGTTTTAATTTAAAAGTGAAAATCTTTGTTAATGGAGAAAAAGATTATCATGATACAGAAAATTACTTTAGTTGTTTGTCGAATCAAAACTTTTCTTATCTAATCATCAGTAAAACTATTTCGGTAAATCACATTAGAACAATTATTCGCTTCCAAAATGCCAACATAATGGTTTTCTTTTTCGTTTTAGACAAACAAACTTGTATTAATCTTAAAATCGTGATTCTAGCACGAAGAAATAAAGGACGCAATATCAAAGAATATAAATTTAATGCATAATTGAAATACAACACATGATACAAATAAATTAGTTTTTCTAGCAAAGCAACCAAACAAAAGTTTTACTTCGTGGTACTTTTAAGATTGAGCGTTTAATAACGATTTCCAAAAATTAAGAGAAGGTTGACGAAATCGTTTTTTTCTAGAGG